AGGTAAGTTTTAATAGTTAGTATGGAATAGATAGACTATATATTTTATTATATACAACCTAAATCCTTCTTCAATTAGTAGTTCCTGAGATTAGCATGTTCGAACAAACAAACAAACAAACAAACAAACAAACAAACAAACAAACAAACAAACAAACAAACAAACAAACAAACTCTGCCTCTTCATAATATTAATACAGACATTTTAATATATATAAATTGTTAATATCACAAATATTTTCATATCAACTATAAGTTAGAGTAAAAAAATTTAGTTAAAAGCAAGATTCAGATCACGTTCATTTCAGCAGCAGTAGAGGCGATGCAAATTAGCTTTTGACCGCAGAGAAAATTTTTAAAACGTGAATATAAAGTGGTAAATAAACCTAAGGCTTCGAATGCATGTGGCAGATTGAAGCAGAAGCTTATAATCCAATTATTAAGCATTATTACTTATTCTTGGTAACTGAAGTGACCTTTCTATTTACTATGGGGTTTTATAAAACTCTATTGATTTTATTATATTATTATACTATATCCTAATAGATAATTCTAGTTTATAATAGTAATAATTCAGCCCTTTTTTAAAGTCCCACTTCTGGGCACTAGCATCCTCTTAATACGCGAGAAATCTAGCCTAATATAAATCTAGTCTAACATGCAAAGGTGAAGTTCTCACGTCTTTCTGAACTTATTAGGTTAGAACTAATTAGGTTGTCTCAGACAAGCAGATTTAATCAGGTTGTTTTCGTTTACCGTATTAGTAAGTGATAATCGTGTCGAAAATGGGACTACTAGCAGGGAAAAATGGGATGGGACGCGTTTCATATCAAAATTTCAGAGGTTTGAGACCAGGATTTGGACTCAGTTTACTTAGTTTACCTTTTATAGGAATTTACGTATTACGCAGATAGCATTTTTCTTTAATGTTCTTATATTACTACTCGTTTGCTTAAATTTGACGAAATTTTATGACTTTGACAATATGTTTGGCTCAGTTTGTAGTGACCCTACTTGCTGTGCCAGCGGCCGCGCGTTCGAGTCCCGCTGGGGGCATTCATTTGTGTGATGAGCACGAATGTTTGTACTCCAGTCATGGGTGTTTATATTTATAATGTGTATGTATTTAAAATTATATATGTGTAGTGTATCGACTATCTGGTATTCATAATACAAGCCTCGTAGCTTACCATGGAACTAGATGGTGCTGTGTGTTAATGTCCCAACATATTTATTTATTTATCTCCATTATATTTAATGTATAGCCTGAACTGTGGCGGAATACAGCCAGAACTTGGGTTTTAAAGAATTTTCTTAGGTTACGTGATTCACTCGTGAATAAAACTGCTTTTTCATTTGAATTTATTCCGTATATGTTTTTTAAATTTGACTTTACTTTCAGTCTGCCGACTGCGGAACTGGAATATATTTCAAGCGTCGTGTAAAGCAAATATTGTAAATCTCTAATCTATCCGAGTTAAAAAAAAATATCTAATGTACATATTCGGCTTACTTACAATTTTATTATATGTATAGATTATATAATGAGAAATTAATTTGTTGTATACAATTAGCTGCAGATAAATAATAAGTAATTTTGATTTATGAGATAACTTGATTGTGTTGACCATCTGCGAACGAAATCACAGTTTTTGAAGTTTTCGTAATCTCCAGAAATAGAACAATGAAGTCGACAGTAAAGTTACATGAAATTACTTGGGCAAATATTGTTTTCTTTTCTACCCTTAAAGTGTCGAAAAAGGGTAGAAAATATGTTTGGATGAATCTCATAGGTCCGTCTAGTAGTATTTCCGATCTAACAGACAGTCAAAAATTTGGTATGATGATAGTTGGTTATCCGGGTCAACATATAGGATACTTTTTACTGCAGGAAAACATCTCTACTCTGAGAAATCTATACTAAGCGATAAAACGTACCACGTGACGAACCTGAGTGGAGCGAGGGTGAGTCGCTAGTTAATTATATAATTGTATACGTATAATATGAATTTATAAGTTAGGAGTATATTACAGCGTCGCTAAGAAATCTCTTATAATTGACATTGAAACAAATAAGTTAGTAAATTACCTATCTATATATGTCTGAACGTGATAAACTCAAAAGCTACCGAATAGATTTTCGTAAGATTTTCACCAATGAACGGAGTGATTCATGAGGAAGGTTTAGGTGTATAATTCATTAATGTTTTGTGTAAATTGGCTGAAATATGACGATGATTGTTGAAGATGTTAGAAAAAGTCATGCCGACTGGTTGCTTTATTAAACTAATAAACTTATATGAAAATAATATATTACAGAATTATTCCTCTTAAAAAGATCTTACTATTATACTGTAGCACCGCTATGTGCACGTATCTAGGGACACACCCGAGCGAAGCACTGCAGTCTACGTAATAAGTCACTAGTCCAATATAAAAAATACAATGTTTAAATTACGTGTCATATAAAGTGATTTTGTTTTCAGATACACATTTCATAAATATGATGAAAAAGATTTGCATTAAATATTATAATTTCCAACATCTTAAAAGCGTCGAGATTATCCTATCAGGCACACTTGCAAAGTCAGCTTTCCTTTTATACAGACCTGTAACCGTAAACATAAAAAATAATCTTATTAAAATTTATTTTCAACCTGTAAAGTTTTATATTATCTTTTATATTTATTTACTTAGTTCTTTAGTAAAGCTTTTTATTATTATAATAAATGAATTTTACGTTTTAGAACTGTTCAATACAGATATAAGGATATCGTGTGTTAGCATGTAATATATAATTATTAAGTTTATTTCTCACCGACTGAAAATAAGAAAGAGATACATATTAAGTACTATTTGAAAATGTGTATGTGAAAAACAGCTTTAATCATGTGAAATAGAATTAGTAAAATATGATTGGTTATCTTCATACAATTAGGTTAGAAGTACACAAGAAAAGCACGTGTTGACAGATCAAAGTTTACTATATTTTCTAATAACACTATTTCTTCCTAGGTATTTAAGAAATATTTATCAGTTATCTAATAGAAAAGAAAGAAAATAAATCTTTAGCTTAAGATGTAAAAAGTTATAACGAGTTAATATTAGTCCCGCTGAGTTTCTTTCGCCAGTTCTTCTCAGCAGCAATGTATATTTATTTATACCGGCGATCTCGGAAACGGCTCTAACGATTTCGTTGAAATTGGATATGACGGGGTTTTCGGGGGCGAAAAATCGATCTAGATTAACCTTGTGTCTGGGAAAACGCGTGTTTTCGAGTTTTCATGCGGTTTTCTTTCACATTATTCCACGCAAAATATGGTCACTAATTTCGCACGCTCGGGCACAAGCATCGTAGCCAAGCGGCCAAGGCGCAAGATAGACAATCACAGGTGTCTGGGTTCGAATGCTGTTCGGATACAAAGTTATTACTTTTATTTTATTTTTTTACCAAAAAAATACGATATACCAATAAAGAACTCCGAGCAAAGCTCAGTCGTCCAGGTACTGAAATGTTAAACATAAAAACTGTCATTAGTATTTACGTTATTAATAAAATAAAGTTATTGACACTAAAAACAAACCATACTGTAAAAAATTTACTGAATGTGATGATATATTAATTTATATCATTTAATATTATTTTAAATTATATAAGCTAACATTTACATATGAATTTAATAAAATAACATGCAAATTAGCACTAACATTTTACAAAGCAAATTATATCAAATATTAAACCCACCCATATTGCTCTATCGGGCTCACAGGCGTTTCCGTTGCAGATGACATGACCAGTGATGCCTGGCGCCGGACACCCATCCATCTATACCTAGATAAGAATATTCACATGGTAAGATTTTGCTTAAAAATATCTTTTAAGTTATTTAATAATAAAATACTAACTGAGACGAATCTGTACATTATATATTTTTGGAAAATCTTATTGAAATAGTCATTATTATCGATACAGAGGCCGAATTTATAGTTTTCAGTATTTTTGTCTGTCTGTTACCGCATTACGGAAAATCACTGGAGGGATTTTGATGAAATTTGGTATGATGATAGCCGGTTATTTTTTTTTAATGTTGGGAAATGCATTTACGCATACCACCTGTAGACATACAGGGGTTGCTCCACAGTCCACTCTGCTATCAGAGAAGTACCATTTTTTTTTAACGTTGGGAAATGCATTTACGCACGACGTGTGGGACTCACCGGCGTAATACAGCCAGTACTACCCACTAAAACCCAACAAAACCTTCCCCCGTCTTAATGGGGCGTCGCAGGATCGCTTACGCATTCAACTACGGCGCCCCGACGGCAGGTCTGCCGAAGCAGACCACCACAACCATGGGGTTGCTCCAAGGTCCACTCTGCTATCAGAGAAGTACCAGGAGCAACCCGCAAGGTACACTGCCCCCCGAAGAGGGCCACCTCCCACCGCCCACCGAAGTGGGCAACCTCCCTATGCGTTTCTTAGCTTTGCGCCCGGTTGGATTGCCGGGCACTACTGAGCCCCCCCACCACGACAAGGTGAACGCACGTTGGGGGGGATCAGAGAAGTACCAGGAGCAACCCGCATGGTACACCGTCCACCGAAATGGGCCACCTCCTTGTGCGTTTCTTAGTTTCGCGCCCAGCTGGATTGCCGGGCACTACTGAGCCCCAACGACAAGGTGAACGTACGTTGGGGGGTTGGGGAAAGCTGGTTATACGGGTCAACATAGGATACTTTTTTGTGGGAAAATATCTCTGATAAATCTACTATTCGTAATTCAATCAACTTTTGGCTTCAAAACGTGCCACTAGAGCACAGATTACTTCACCAATATCACAAAAAATGGAAAAGAGATGAAGGAGATTGGTCGGTAGGATAATATTATAAATATTACATATATAAGTAATATATTCGTAGTAAATATGACATTTTCTTTCTTTGCAGATGCGGTAGGCGTATCATAGATCTGTCAGGGGAGACAAAAGCGAGTTGCTTTTATAATGAACTCGACGGAAGCGACCGTCGACGTCAACCGTTCCACGCCGATATACACTATTGGCACTAACTTCATAACCCAATGGTAAGACAAATATATTTATACATTATAAAACTTAGGTATGTATTTTTTGGGATATATTTATATTACTTTACATAATAAATACGAAAGTTTATGTCTTTTTGTAATGCCTTTTATGGGTATAGTATCCAATTCTATATAAAATTACCAAAGTAGTCTAGAAATGTTCATGTAATGGACATGCTCCATTGCAATTGTCTCTGTTTAAGCAAATCAACAGCTACGCAGTTATACTCTCGCAAAGACTTGTTTGTTATAGCAAATTATTCTAACCGTAGCTGGTATTCCATATTAAATGAAACTCACCATGTAAATTAATATTGTATCGTATTCAGCCCTTTTTTAACGTACCACTGCCGGTCACAGCCGCCCTTACTACAAGGGGACCATGCCATCGTCCACCACGGTGGCCAAGTACGGGTTGGCGGACTTCACATGTCTTTCGAAACTTGCTAGTTTCTCTCAGACATGTAGGATTCCTCACAATGTTTTCCTTCAGCGTAAAACAAGTGGCAATCATGTTGGAAATCATTTTAATATATTTTGAAATAAATGAATTTAATATATTTTTAACTTTACTATTTTATTTATAACTTTTAATCATAATGGTATCATCTTCAACAACAACGCACAGTAAAATTTGAAATTATAATTTATAACATTCATATTTATAATATTTCTATCTAGACGTAGGTACGTATAGTACTGAAATGAATTTATCACAAAATTTGTTTCAAGCTTCTAGGTCTAAATAGTACCCAATCTCGTAAGAGCAATTTTGGTAATAGACATTGGATTATTTATTTTCTAGATACGCCTCTTTATCAGTACTTTATGGAGTAAAGAAAATACTTATTAGTTTTTCATCTATAATTTAAGAAGAAATATAAATTATTAACATTTTCTTAGAATCTATAATTTATTTTATTCCTTTAAGCAAACCAAGTAAGGTATTATTATTTTAAACTAGCGACTTACCCTTGTTTCGCTCGGGTTCGTCCCTAAGTAAGTTTTAATTTTTTGAGCGGAACCTAATTCTTTTTCTAAACTAAAAATAGCCTTAGTTACTTCTTATAACATCAACTATCTGCAAGTGAAAGTTTCATCGGAATCAGACAGACAAAAATTTTAAAAATTGAGTTTTTTTTTATAAGTTCCGTACCCAGATATATAATAATTTCATATGCATTTAGTAAAAAGCTGTTATTTTGACATTACAAACAGACACTTCAATTTTATTTATCTGTATATATAATAAAATACTATAAATATTTACGTCATATTATGACTATAATAACGACAAAATGAAAATAATGTTTAATCATAACAAATTGAGAGTATTTTGTGTATGAATTTGGTAATTTTTCATCCCGTACCGCTTCATCAGTTTTATATGATACAGAATGGATATAGCGTGCACAATTTACACTATTTATACATATAATAAAATTCTACCCGTGTCGAATCTGTATATTAAATATTTTTTGGAAAATCTTATTGAAATAGTCATTATTATCACACAAAGGCCTAATCTATAGTTTTTTAGAATTTTTGTCTGTCTATCTGGGAACGTATCACAAGAAAACGACTGGACAGATTTTGATGAAATTTGGTATGAACATATAGGATACTTCTAACTGCGAGGAAATATCTCATCTCTGAGAAATCTATACTAACCGTTAAACTGTCTGACTGTATAAAGTGCATATGTATATCGAAGTATCGTAAGAACGAAGCCGAGGGATAAAACTAGTTAACAACATCTACTTAATTTATAACTAAAGCTTTGCATTGTTTAGTTATAGATTCAAGGTGCCTCGTATTAAGTTTTTCAATATTTACTTACTTATTTTGTAGTTTGGTTTTCATGTTATTTTTACCTCATTTTCATTCTCATATCTTATCTACTGTTCAAGTTATGCATAAAATATATATATTGATAAAATTATGTAAAACTGGCTGTTGCTCAATAGAAAAAAGCGTCGTTCTGTGCTCTTTCTGGTATATTTAATGCGAAAATGAGCGTTTGTTCCAGGCAGAAATAGAAGTTATCGCCTATAACTCTAAAATGAGCTATAAGTTTTTATACATTTTTGTTTACATGGCTCAAAGGAAAGAAGCGTCAATCACCGTCACCGTTGTGAACTAGTGAAGGTGCTCGTTTGATAAATGCTAAAAGAAAAAGAAACGATTTTTTAATTTTCAATAATAGCAAACTAAATTATTGTTCTCAATTATTTTTTTAACTTATTAATTTTTTAATAATACTTTCTTAGATTTATGAGAATATTCGATAGACAGTGCCTACCCACGAATGGTTTAGTACACTTAATACCACAACAAATAACCGACTCCTTTGTTTAGTCCTTAAAATCATATCGATTATCGGGTGTGTAATCTAATAAGTCTTCAAGTATATCAAAGTTTTAACATAGAAATACTACATGTTATAATAATACAGTCTTGGTTTTGAAAAATAACAATAACATAATATGTAAATAACAAATTCATTTATGTATCACGTTATTAACATAAACGTAAATTATTATAATAATGCTTGTACAATTTTCCTCCCAGCGACTATTCCGCTCCATAGTTACATGCATTTTCATAATGTTATCATCATTTCGTTGTAGGTATCTCGTATATTAAACAATGCTTGCATTTTCTTTCAACAAACATATCACAATAACTATGAAAAATGTGAATCTGCTCCATTTAGCATTCTATATTTTAATTAGGCACCTATTCATGAAATTTGTTTTAAAATATGTAAATAATATAAATGTTAATGAATGTTAAAATTTTTATTTAATAATGTCAAACATTCGCGTAAATCTAAGAAAGAATTATAAGAAAGTATAATGTTAATGAATATAATATATAAAAAATAAGATGTTTGTTTTTTTGTTTTATTAAAATAATATTAATTTACATAACATCGTTAGCAGTATGTATGCTAGTAATAGTATACAATATATATATATATATATATATATATATATATATATATATATATATATATATATATATAAACATTGAAAGATGTGTGTAACTACTAGTGTTGCTATACAACTTAAATCATTTTATGGACAGTGTTTAAGAGTCGCTTATTATTTCTAAGCAATAAGCTTCATCATTAATCATGTTCTTATTTTCTTTTTTAGATTTCTGATATAAAGGCTCTGTTTCTTGAGAGCAAAAAAATGATGCCTTTGTATCCGACCGCGATTCGAACCCGGACACCTATGATTGTCAATCTTGTGCCTTGGCCGCTAGACCACGATGCTTTTGTCCGAGCGTGCGAAAATATAATTTTATATATTTTACGTGGAATAACGCGAAAGAAAACACGCGTTTTTCCAGACATAAGACTAAACTAGATCGATTTATCTCCCCTGAAAACCCCGACACACCAAATTTCATCGAAGTAGTTAGAGCCGTTTCCGAGATCGCCGGTATAAATAAATATACAAGAATTGCTCGTTTAAATATATTACATTATTTTAAGTATCAAAAGAGCAATGAATTTTTCGCATAGAAATAATTTATGGGTCGACGAGCGACATTTTATCCCAGCAATATATGTGACCCCTATGTGACCTTCCGTAAATGTCTTATTAATGAACTTCAAAATAGAATGTTTTCTTTATAAATTATGAAATAAAAAAAACATTATAAATAAAAAGACAAAATAGTTCTGTGCCTTTTTCTCCTCTGTTTATCAATCGATTTTCTTTTATTTTTTGTTTAGTAACTATTCTTTAGCTTTAGTGTTGTCATAAAAACAATTTGAAAACCGTTTTTTCCTATAAATCGTTCTATCATATATTTATACATAATCGTATGGTCAATTTTTTTTTTAATTATAAGATTTGAGAATTGAACTTCTTCGTGTTATCTATGTTATATTAATATTATAAAGAGACCGAGTTTGTTTGTTTATTTATTTTGTTTGTTCGATTGAACGCGCTAATCTCAGGAACTACTAATCCGATTTGAAAAATACTTTTTGCATGAGATAGCCCGTTTATTGAGCAAGGCTAAAGGCTATATATCATATAACATATAGTATATCTACTCCATAGTAACCGTCAAATGTACCTAGGGACGAACCCGAGCGTAGTAAGGGTGAGTCTCTAGTTAGAAATATAGGTACTCGTATGAAAAATTCGGTTGTATGACTTTGAGCGTATTTTCGTCAATTATAATCTAATTTTCAAGACTATCGTGGTTCTATATAAATTTTTAAACTGTGGAAAGTACCTTTTTAACAGTAATGTTATATTATACTTCTAAAAATTCCAGTTTACCTAATAGTAACTTTTTCAATCAAACGCTTCATTTTCTAGTTTCATGAGCAAAGTAATATAACATTGGAAATTTTCACAAGTTCCAATAATTACACGGTACATGAAATAATATTCAAAACATCACAGCCAGAACACGACACGAAGATTGATTCATTTTCGATGAACTAATTTCCTATCTCGCTGAAAGTGTACAATCATTTGTACACATTTTAACTTCATTATCTCTATAGAGGTTTTCATATATTACAGTAAAATTTCAATATACATATTGAAAGCAATCGCACCACTATTATAAATCCAAAATTTTCTATGTTTGTTTGTTACTTCGTCACGCTAAAACGGCTGGTCGGATTTAGATGATACTACACAGATATACCTGGAATAACACATAGGCTAATGTTAGTGATAAAAGTTGCCAAAAGATGGCGTTGTCTGTACATAATATTACAAATAAAAAAAGTTAGGGGCGCACCCGAAGGTAAGTCTCTAAGGTGGCACGAAAGTGATTTAATACAAAATGAAAATATAAACCTATTGTTTACTACTTAAGCTCTCACAGAAGCAACAATTGCAATGCAAATCATGTTCATGATTAAAGTTGAAAATATGTATTAAACTCGTTCATTGAATGGCAATACTGGTTCTGATTTAAATAATTCATGTTTATTTCAAAAGTCAATTCGCATCCAATACGTCTCATAATAACAAGTTATAACAAGATTGTCAAAAGGAATATTCCAATTTAGTGGCAGAAATAATTTTAATTTTTATGTTAGGTTCCTATATACTTTCAGTATACTATGGCCTGATATAACCCCCTCATAGGGACAAGACATTAAAAATCGTTAAATACATTCTCACAGTATTGCGTGAGAATTTGTTTATCGCTTGTCTCTTTCATTGTCGTTAAATCACTGTTGAGTACAATTAAATGAATATTAGTACAGAGATAGCTTGTATTTTGGAGACTGACATTAATAATGTAGTTTTTAAATAAGAAAAATGATACTAATAATTTGATTATCCAAAAAAATCTTCAATACCCAAAAGATTTTAGACCATTTTCGATGATCCCATTTTGATTTTTGGATGGCGCCCAATCTCACGGAGACTAGCCAGATGCTAGGAGACAATATAATGCACAAGTATACGCGCACACACAATTGCACTGTTTAAAGAATACCTTTTACTCTTAAAGTCCATGGGACGATATTTCGACACGACCTATGAGAGTTAAGGCGTACGACTGACGGCTTTACGTACTCTCCGAGGCACCGGCTGCAACACCGCCAACTTACCAACTCCGGGCTGTTACTAAGAATCTTAATAGAAAAACTCATTAATTAAACTTTGCCTGTCCTGGGACTCGAACTCAGGACCTCCGGAACTGCAACCGTATTTGCTAGCTACTAGAGGAGGTTTAATGTTATTTTATCATTAAAGTAAATATATTACAATAATATTTGACTTACATTGTATTTTTAAATCCATCCTTATATTAAATTTTTTCTCGCAATTTTTTCTCTCTTCTTCTTTCGCTCTCGTGAGGCATATTATGTGAATAGGTATATATCTATACATACAATAAAATTGTAACTAAGCCGAATGTGTACATTAAATATTTTTTGGAAAATCTTATTGAAATAGACATTTTTATCAATACAGAGGCCGAATTTATAGTTTTTAGAATTTTTGTCTGTCTGTCTGTCTGTTACCGCATCACAGAAAAACCACTGGAGGGATTTAGATGAAATTTGGTTTGGTGATAGCTGTCTCATTTCTAAGAAAAAATACAAAAACTGCAATGTAAGAGTATACTAATATGTAAAACCTAAGAAAATTTTTTTGGTCATCTGAACGCGGGCGGAGCCACGGGCAATGCTAGTTGTATAATATGTTCGATTCGGAACATTTGGTACGGAATGATTTGTTGTGTGGTAGTTGGTAGTTTTGAACAAAGTAAACACAGCTTTCCTGTCAGCCACATATATTTCAACGTATCACGCTCCTTTGGCGTTTAGTACACAATTTCCGATAAATTTCCCATTTTATTTCCATACATAGCATTCGTGTAGGACACATTATAAAGTCAAATGGGCTATTTTATTGAAATGTAAAACATACTATATTATATAAAACTAGCGACTTACCGTCGCTTCCGTCCGTTCCGTCCGTGTATTCAGCCCGTTTTTTAACGTCCCACTGCTGGGGGTGGACCTCCCTTCAATGCGAGGGGGATCAGGCCATAGTCCACCACGCTGGTTAAGTGCGGGTTGGCGAACTTCACATGTATTTTGAAAACTTGTTAGGTTCTCTCAGACATGCAGATTTCCTCACGATGTTTTCCTTCACCGTAAGACAAGTGGTCATCAAGTTGGAAATGAAACGCACATGAAATGATCAAAGGTGCGAGACCCGGGATTTGAACCCGCTTCGCTCGGTCCGTGGCCCGTGGTCACTGGGCTACCACTGTCTTCATCCGTCCGTGTAAAAAAAGTTAATGTGAGTGTACCTTACAAGACACACATGCTATTTGACCTCTTCGTGAAATCGAATTTTTAAATATTTCTGAAATAAAACATACTCTATTAAATTGCCCTATAAAGAGAAAAAGAGACAGAAATTCTAAAAAGGGTTACTTAGGCATTGGTATCATATAAATACCTTTATGTATTTGAGAAAACATAGTTATTTTGGAATCACAAACATACACTTAAATTTTTGACCATTGTTGATCATCAACTGTTAACAGTGTCCTTTCTTTGCGAAATATACAATAATTAAGTACTGCTACTACATACGACTATGAAGTTTAATTAATAATGATTATTTATATGAAAGCGGGACAGGGTTCAAGGGTAACCTAGGTCTGATTCCGGGATGTAAACTATATCCCTGTAAAATTTTATCGAAATCTGTTCAGCAATATAAGCGTAAAAAAGTAACAGACAGAGCTACTTTCACATTTATAATATTAGTATGAATTTTTGTGAATTTTAAACTTAGAATATTGAGTAAGTGCTTACTGTGAGATATGAGTCTCTTATATAGTTTGACCGATTTAACTAAAGTCTCTCTTTCACAGGAAACTACAGAAGTTAAAGCAGCGGTCATGCGTGTCCAGCTCATATCCGGAATGCCAAGGATATTTCACTAACATCACTAACTACACAGATGTGTACTTGTTCAACGAAACACTTGACGACAATGTTGATTTGGTAAAATTTAGTCTTAAATGTAGCCTCAAATATAAGATATAAAATATTGAAAAGCAATGGAAAATGTCTAATTCACAATTTTTATGGTTTGATTTCAGTACTATTTTGTTATATTTATCATATTCATATCTAGATGCTCCTCAATGTCGGCAGTTTTAATACTAAGTATAACACCTTAAAAGTTAATAATATATTTTTATTTCATTATAATATATTTTAATGTTATTATATCCGCCATAATATGTTCAGTATAATTTAAAAAGCATATATTTATAGATTTTTTTCTTGAAATTAAAATATGAATTTTGTAGCTATGAAATGAACGGGGTGTTTGTAACTTTTCCCTGGAGCTCTCTATGCGCGCTTATCCCAAAATTGCTAGCAAAAATACTCATTATACTCAGTGCTACAGCTTTAATGTTAACTATAGACGTACTGAAATATAATAAACCAAACTATTTTATTTTTACCTATATTAAAAAAACTGTTTCCATTTTTTTTTATTGATAACACTAAAACTCGTTTATACAACAAACAAGTCAATGCATAATAATTAATTAAAGAGGTTTAATACAATATCTATAAATAAATAGGCAAAGACAAAACGGTTTAGTGCCTTTTTCGTCTCTGTTTGTCAACGGATTTTCTTTTTCTTTTTTTGTTCAGTAGGTATTGACGAGATTTAATGTTATCAATTAAAAACTTTTAGAAACATTTTTTTATATAGATAGGTAAATTCTATTCATATATGTTTTCAACAATCAAATTATCAGTAATGATTATAGTTGAATTTCAAATTCTAGTCGAAAGCTAGTAATTAAAAATTAAGCTACCTTTGATCATTGTATAATACTTACATTTAAATTTTAATAAAAACATAAATAGGACAATAAGCTCAACGAAAGAGCTTTATGTAAAAATGTGGCTATATAAAACACAACTTTACTATGTGTGTAAGCCGTAAACATGGAAAGAAGTTACAGTGCGTGTCCTCACAAAAGCTCCTTTAAATGAGATCATTTCAAAGCGTCACATTACCTACAGCGCGGATATATGTATTTATAAAATGAATATTATTATGTATATAGACTATGATGTACAGCTTCACATCCAGAGGTCCTGGGTTCGAGTCCCGGGTAGGGCCAAGTTTAGTTATTGAGTATTTCTGTTTAATAAGCCTCAACAGTTGAGAAGTTGATAGTGTTTCAAACCCGTGCGTCGGAGAGCACGTAAAGACTTCGGTCTCGCGCCTTAACTCTCACTGATCGTGTCGAGCAGTCGTCCTACCGGAGTAAAAGAGTGACAGGAATAGAGAGTATACTAGTGTTTCCGCGCACATTTGTGCACTATAATATCTCCTGCGCAGATGGCTAGTACCAATCAGATGGGCCGCCGTGGCCGAAATCGGTCGAGAGGCCATTATAATAATAATACTCGTCATCTGCGATCGAAGCACGAGCGACTTAAGAAGGCGTTTTGCAGTATAAGATTTATTCAGTAAATAGTAATACCATTATAGAATATATATATATATATATATATAATATAATATAATAATAAAAATAATAAAAATATATAACTATAATATAATAATAAAAATTTAATGTGCACCACTAAATACATTTACCAAATACTTACTAGACCTGTAATATAAATCCCGAATGAAATTCCTTTATACGAGGTGATTACTGTAAGAACCGTGATTGTTTTTTATTAGGATGTATATAGCCGATGGTAGATTCCTCACGGACTTACATACTGACATTTAATTTAAATTTAAAATGTAAAAGTGACGAATCAAAGGTCCTTGTAAAAGTCTATTTAAATAAAGTAATGTAAACAACCTATTGTTAAATAAATTTATTAACACCTCCAGGTAAATTTCTAAGAAATTAATTAAATTTCTAAGAAATCTATTGTTAACTGTAACGCCGGCGTGTCCGCGGTCGTTGAGGGATTAATCTAATATTGTAAAAACGTGCGGTATTATACATTTCAAAGCCATCCTATGTCTGGTATGTATGTATAAAAAAGCGAAATATCAGCCACTCTCCAACCGACGGATTAATTACAAAATCTCGAAAATTCTATAGGGATGAGTTCCTGAAAAGGCCGGATAATAGTTTGTGTAATGAAAGGTCTAGCTGAGAAAGAATTTTTTGAAACTTCCATTTTAAATTTTGTATGGAACTCTTTCCTCTATAATTTGCCATAGTCGGTTGCGAACGATGTCGCGGGTACATCAAGTAAAACCATTTATATTATATACATATATCTATACATATAATAAAATTGTAAGTAATCCGAATCTGTACATTAAATATTTTTAGGAAAATCTTATTGAAATAGACATTATTATCGATATAAAGGCCGAATCTATAGTTTTTAAAATTTTTGTCTGTCCTTTACCGCATCACGGAAAAACCATTGAGGGGATTTTGATGAAATTTTGTATGTTGATAGCTGGTTATCCGGGTCAACATATAGGATACTTTTTACTGCGGGAAAATATGTAATCTCTGAAAAATCTATACTAAACGTTAAAACTAGGGATGTAGGGGGTAACTAGGGATGAACCCGAGCGGAGCGAGGGTGAGTTGCTAGTAATGTTATAATATAATGCTAACCTTAGAGATAAGTATTTATAGACCACACGCATGTGATTATTCCTTGTGCAAATTCGTAGTATAGTAACATTAGACTAATATAAATAAAATTCTTTTCCTTTTATAGTATATAGATACCTCAAAGAGATTCAAAGGTCATATTATACAGATTCTTAATTTCATTTTAACAACTGCTATAAACAATGATACTTAGATTTACACGAATATTTGACATATTAAAAAACTATCTTTTCAGATTTTTTCGCGAATTTATTTTGATTTTTGATTCCCGACGTTTCAAATGCTTTACAGCAATCATGGCCATGGGAGAGACTAAAAAGCAAAAGTGTCAAGTTTCAAAAGCATTATATTGTTGTTACAGACAGGTTACCCATAAATTAAAAAAATAAATTCAAAAAATTCAAAAATGGTATCAAAGTACCTTACAATATTTGTTAATATTAATTTTTAACTTTTTTATACTTTTAATAAGTTTTATAATTAAATATGGATGAAACCAAAAATCAAAATAAATTCGCGAAAAAATCCGAAAAGATAATTTTATTTAAATGCTCTAAACATATTAAAGCCGTCAAATGATATCATTTAGCTTTTAAAAGTTTTAATATTAGCTTTAATAAAATAATATTAGCTTTTATAAAATATAAACACCCAGGACTAGAGTATAAACATTTGTGGCCATCACACAAATCAATGCATCCAGCGGGACTCGAACCCACGACCGCTGACACAGCAAGTAGGGTCACAAAATTTTGAACCAGACATATCATCGTATATTTTGTAAACATGACACAGAGACGACTACTATAATTTAAATTAATTTAAATACACATAAATTATTCATTTTGCTCTTCGACATTGGTATTGAAATAGTTTTCCATTTAAATGTTTACTCGAAAACCCGTTCAATATAGATTATGTCAATTAAATCGTGCAAATCAAGCGAATTATGAATGTTTGCGTATTTTAATGATTCCCAGATATTCAACAAAGTTGAGCTATCAGAGTGCTTAAATTTTAAATATGTTAGGACATTAACACACAGCACCATCTAGTTTCATGGTAAGTTACGAGGCTTGTGTTATGGATACCAGATAGTTGATACACTACACATATATAACTTTAAATATATACATATTATAAATATAAACACCTGACAACACATAACAAACACTACACATATATAACTTTAAATATATACATATTATAAATATAAAAACATGACTGGAGTACAAACAATCGTCATTACACAAATGAATACCCCCAGTGGGATTCGAACCCGCGACTGCTGGCACAGTAAGTAGTCTCACTACAAACTGAGCCAAACGTGTCATCATTAAAGTAATCAAAGTTTATTTAGTTCTTGGGTATTCCTGTATTACTTAAAAATTGCCTCGGTGGTCTAATAGCTACCTTGTACGGCTTCAAATCCCGAGGTCGGTTCAAGTCCGGACTTGGGTATTTGTTAAACAATTGTCAATAGCTCTTCGAAGTTGAAAAGGTAACGGTTTAACACTCAAGTTTCTTGAAGAATACGAAAAGCTGTCGCTACCTCTCATTGGTCGTGCCGAAGTATCGACCCCTGAGACTTAGAGGTAAAAGAAATTGTGCACTTTTTTTTTGCGTGCATATTTTTGCCCTAATAATATTTCCTGCGTAGTTAGTTAAATTATCTCAATAAGATATTGAGATTAGTTGCCATGACCGAAAACGATGGGGAGAATATGATTATTACTTTTATATGAAAATCTTTTCATCATTTATGATTTTAATTTGGATATAAAAACGCCATATATTATAGTAAGCAAATTTGAATTTTCATAAAAAAAACGTGTGTGTGTACTTATGTACGCACGTAAGAAGTTCTACTTCTTCGGCTTAACAGAATAAAAATAGCTAAAGATTTCATCCCGTATATCACAGCTCTCTGTTTGTAAAAGGAATGATAAATTTTAATAAATAGAATTAAATAACGCATATTAGGCATATTACGATTATATATTTATAGATTATCATTTAAGGAAAGAATATAATATTACATATATATCATTAGTCAGAAAATAACAACGGTTACCATGGCAACAAACGTTCGCCTCCCACGATGACACTTTTCGTAACGCTCTCGTCACGCATTCACCAGCTTACTCCCCAAATCAAGCGTGCGTAAAGAAGTTTACTTCTAAAAATAAAAAATGCATGCAAAATATGATTTCTGAGTGATTTCTGAATGAAAGAGTGATGAAAATGGAAATAACTAAGATAATTCCAGTTTACCTCGAAATAAAATCGAATGCTTATAAATACTTTTACTAAAAAGTTATTTGGACAGCAAAATCAACGTAAAATTAAGTATATTTCAAAGTATCTATAATT